GAGCCTGGACCTGCTCAGACCGGACCTGGTCCAGACCCAGAGGAGCACCGAGGACCTGCTCAGGTCTGAGACCAGAGACACATGAGGACTGACCACAGACGGGACCTGAGGACGAGTCTGAGGACGAGTCTGAGGACGAGTCTGACCCTCCAGCGGCGCGTCCTCACAGGAAGTGTTCATGGTCGTGTTCGGGCTCCACAGACTCTAGCTCCAGTTCAATTTGTGTAAAAGTGTGACCTCTCTGACCTTTGACCTCTGTCTGTACCTGCTGCTGAGGAGGAAGACAAAGTTCTCCCTCGTGTGACCTGGAGGAACCTGCTCAGGTCCATCATGTCGTCACGGGTCAAAATAAACTTGGTTCTCGTCCAGAACCAATTTTTCGGTTCCTGAAGGTTCTGATGTTCGGTCTGAACTCGTCAGTCGGTTTGAGTTTAACCGACACGATTCTGTCGACCTGAAAACACAAAAACTGAACTGGAGCCAGAGTCTGTGGAGCCCGATCACGACTGTGAACACTTCCTGTTTGGAATGCGGGAAGGGGGGGGATCTGACTCTGGCGACGCCAAAGTTCACCAAAGTTTGGTTTTGTTTTTGAACTTTGGTGTCGCCAGAGTCAGATTCTCAGACGTTGGTCCAGGTCTTGGTCATGTGACTCAGGGACACTTCAGCTGAACATCTGAACCTCCACCTAACTCCTCCCTCTGCTCCTCCCTCTGCTCCTCCCTCTGCTCCTCCCTCTGCTCCTCCCTCTGCTCCTCCCTCTGCTCCTCACAGCCGCCTGAACCGGAGCGGAGTCCAGACGCCACCAGACCCCGCCCCCTCTGGCCCCGCCCCCTGCTGCTGTGACCTCGCCCCCTCTGGCTCCGCCCCCTGCTGCTGTGACCCCGCCCCCTCTGGCCCCGCCCCCCCGTGGCCCCTCAGCTCGTGGTTCGTCGGTTCTCTGCGTCGCTCCGAGGCCGAGGACGTTCTTCAGGGAAAACCACCGGGAACCTTCCTGATCCGAGAAAGCAGCCGGAGACACTGCTACGCCTGCTCCCTCGTGTAAGAACTCAGGTCACACTCAGGTCACACTCAGGTCTCAGCTCACAGGAATCAGGTCACAGGAATCAGGACTCAGGTCTCAAGTCTCAGGTCTCAGGTCTCAGGTCTCAGGTCTCACTCTGGTATCAAGTCTCAGGTCTCAGATCTCAAGTCTCAGGTCTCACTCAGGTCTCAGGTCTCAGATCTCAAGTCTCAGGTCTCAGGTCTCACTCTGGTATCAAGTCTCAGGTCTCAGATCTCAAGTCTCAGGTCTCACTCAGGTCTCAGGTCTCAGATCTCAAGTCTCAGGTCTCAAGTCTCAGGTCTCAGGTCTCAGGTCTCAGATCTCACTCTGGTCTCAGGTCTCAGATCTCAAGTCTCAGGTCTCACTCAGGTCTCAGGTCTCAAGTCTCAGGTCTCAGGTCTCAAGTCTCAAGTCTCAGGTCTCAGGTCTCACTCTGGTCTCAGGTCTCAAGTCTCAAGTCTCAGGTCTCAGGTCTCAGGTCTCACTCTGGTCTCAACTCTCAGGTCTCAGGTCTCAGGTCTCACTCAAGTCTCAGGTCTCACTCAAGTCTCACTCAAGTCTCAGGTCACACTCAGGTCTCAGGTCTCACTCAGGTCTTACTCAGGTCTCACTCTGGTCTCACTCAGGTCTCACTCTGGTCTCACTCAGGTCTCACTCTGGTCCCGTTGTGTCCTCAGGGTGGCGTCGCAGGTGCGGCACTGCGTGATCTTCTGCTCGGACCAAGGGCTGGGATTTGAGCCCTCGACTCTCTTCAGGAGCCTCCAAGACCTGGTCCGGTTCTACAGCCGGACTTCACTGGTCCAACACAACCAGGAGCTTGACGTGAGACTGCAGAGGCCGGTGTGGGCGGAGACGGGGGGCGAGGGGGCGGGGACGGGGGAGGAGACCAGGGAGGAGGAGACGGAAGGAGAGAAGGACGAGAACGACAGGACCAAAACTGAGCTCAGAGTCTGATCTTCAGGAGAAAGAACCCAGGAACCTTCAGAGGAACTTTCAGAGGAAAACGTGAGATCTAAAAAATAAGAAACTTGTTCCAGGTTTTGTAGCACTTCTGAACGTGAAGAAAAATAAAAGTGAAAGTCAAAGTGCAATGAGGAGGAGGATCTGATGGACACAAACTTGAATCTTCAGGAGACGAGAAAAACTTTGTACAAAAATGTAAAAAAGCGAAGCAGGTGAAAGGTCAGAGTGAAGAAGTGAAACCTGCTCCTGAAGCTGAACAGAGACTTTAGGACTTTGACACTTTTGGATTCACAAACAAACTCAGATTTTTAAAACTTTTAAACTCACACCAGGTTTAAACTTTTGGATTTATTTTGACCACAGACTGAATATGGAAGTGGAGACTGTAAACAGGAAGTGTTCATGGACCTGCTCGGGCTCCACGGACTCTGGTTCCAGTTCAGGTTTGAGTCCAGTTTACGGTCGAAGCGTCGCAGACACTCGGGTCTGTGATCGGTCGTCTCTTTATCTGCTCCACACACGTTTCCTGTTCTCCACTTTCCCGCTTCATTTTGTAACTCGATCGTCGGGTTTAAACCGTCGCCCCCTGGTGTCGTGGAGGTGAATCACTCACGGTGCACCAATCTCAACACCATAAATCAAAAACAACGCAGATAAGACGACAGCGACAGAGAACAATGAGTCGACACACAAATATAATTCACCGTTTAGTGTTTTCACGGCAAGAGAACCATGCTGATGTGGGATCCTGCACCTGGATCTGGACCTGTGAGACCCGGAGGAACCTGCTCAGGTCCACTGTGACTGTGTCGTCACGGTTCATGTAGAAAAAACACGTTTGTTTCCTGAGGGCTCTGATTTTCAGCGTGAACATGTCAGTCGGTTGAGATTAGGTGCAGGACCCGACACGACACGATTCTGTCGACCTGAAAACAGATTTTGTGTGTAAAAAGCGTCGCTCCTCTCTGACCTTTGACCTTTGACCCGCTCTACATGATCCTGGGGTTTGGACTTCAACATTTGGTCCCAAATCCAGATAAACATGAAACCTAACTGATCAGGAGGCAGAAGATCAGCTGGACCAGGTGGACCCACTGGGACCTGCTGGACCTGCTGGACCTGCTGCCTCCATGATCTCGGTCTGGACTCTGTGGGCGGCGTCGCTTCTTTATTCAGTCTGTGGTTTTTACTCTAAAACGATTCATTTCTTGGAGAATTTCGGTGTGAAAAAGCTGAAACTCGTCACTTTGACTTTTGAAATTTTATGAACTTTTTGTGTTTTTTGCTGAATTTGCACAAAGTTTGAATGTGAGTTTTGCTGCTACGACCGAAACCCTGAAGTTCAGACACAATTTCAGATTTTCGTTTCAGATTCAGATGTTTATGGAAGAGTTTGGAGAACGTTTCAGGAGGAAAGTGCTGCTGCTGCCGTGAGTCTGAACCGCACAAACACAGACTCGCAGCTTTCAGGAGGTTTGAGTTTGTTTACAGAAACTACGGCGACGATTCGGCCGAAGTTCAAAACGACGGAAACAGAAAAAGGGTTTAAGTCGACCTGAGGAAACGTCCGAACCCAGAACACGAGGAACATGAGAACATGAGAACGTCTGGAGCTTCAGAGACGCTTCAGACCCTTCGGGCGTTCGGTTGAACCCTCTTCCTGTATGTGGCCGATCGTCGCCGTGGAAACCAAAGTCCAGAGTTTATTTAAAGTTTATTTCAGACGTCGTTTATCAAAGTGGATTTATTTATTTATTTATTTACGCACAGGTTAGTCAAAGAGGCAGATTTATTTAAACTCAAACTGAGCCCCGCCCCTTTTACTCCTACACAAGCCCCGCCCCCTTTTACTCGTACACAAGCCCCGCCCCCTTCCTCTGGGTTTGTCTTGTTAAAATTTAAGTTCTGAAAAATATAAAAAATACAAGTCTTCCATTTTCTAAAAGACCAGAGACTGAACCAGGACTAAACCAGGTCTGAACCAGGACTAAACCAGGACTAAACCAGGTCTGAACCAGGACTAAACCAGGTCTAAACCAGGACTAAACCAGGACTAAACCAGGTCTAAACCAGGTCTAAACCAGGTCTAAACCAGGACTAAAACCAGGTCTAAACCAGGACTAAAACCAGGTCTAAACCAGGACTAAACCAGGACTAAACCAGGTCTAAACCAGGTCTAAACCAGGACTAACCAGGACTAAACCAGGTCTAAACCAGGTCTAAACCAGGACTAAACCAGGACTAAACCAGGTCTAAACCAGGACTAAACCAGGTCTAAAACAGGCAGGTCTAAACCAGGACTAAACCAGGACTAAACCAGGTCTAAACCAGGACTAAACCAGGTCTAAACCAGGACTAAACCAGGACTAAACCAGGTCTAAACCAGGTCTAAACCAGGACTAAACCAGGACTAAACCAGGTCTAAACCAGGTCTAAACCAGGTCTAAACCAGGACTAAACCAGGACTAAACCAGGTCTAAACCAGGTCTAAACCAGGTCTAAACCAGGACTAAACCAGGTCTAAACCAGGTCTAAACCAGGACTAAACCAGGACTAAACCAGGTCTAAACCAGGACTAAACCAGGACTAAACCAGGACTAAACCAGGACTAAACCAGGTCTAAACCAGGTCTAAACCAGGTCTAAACCAGGACTAAACCAGGACTAAACCAGGTCTAAACCAGGTCTAAACCAGGTCTAAACCAGGTCTAAACCAGGTCTAAACCAGGACTAAACCAGGTCTAAACCAGGTCTAAACCAGGTCTAAACCAGGTCTAAACCAGGACTAAACCAGGTCTAAACCAGGTCTAAACCAGGTCTAAACCAGACTAAACCAGGACTACTAAACCAGGTCTAAACCAGGTCTAAACCAGGTCTAAACCAGGACTAAACCAGGACTAAAACCAGGTCTAAACCAGGACTAAACCAGGACTAAACCAGGTCTAAACCAGGACTAAACCAGGACTAAACCAGGACTAAACCAGGACTAAACCAGGTCTAAACCAGGTCTAAACAGGACTAAACCAGGTCTCTAAACCAGGACTAAACCAGGACTAAACCAGGTCTAAACCAGGTCTAAACCTAAACCAGGTCTAAACCAGGTCTAAACCAGGTCTAAACCAGGTCTGGAGAGTCACAAATGTTTTTCTTTTCATTTCTTTTAGTTTTTTCGAGGTAAAAGTTCAGATGTTTTGTGAAGGATCAGGTTTAGGAACAAGGCCATGAGTGACAGGAGTGCACCTGACACACACGGACTGCACCTGACACACACGGACTGCACCTGACACACACGGGGACTGCACCTGACACACACGGACTGCACCTGACTGACACACACGGACTGCACCTGACACACACGGACTGCACCTGCACACACACACGGACTGCACCTGACACACACGGACTGCACCTGACACACACGACTGCACACACACGGACTGCACCTGACACACACGGACTGCACCTGACACACACGGACTGCACCTGACACACACGGACTGCACCTGACACACACGGACTGCACTGCACCTGACACACACACGGACTGCACCTGACACACACGAACTGCACCTGACACACACACGAACTGCACCTGACACACACGGACTGCACCTGACACACACGACTGCACCTGACACACACGGACTGCACCTGACACACACACGACTGCACCTGACACACACGGACTGCACCTGACACACACGACTGCACCTGACACACACGGACTGCACCTGACACACACACACTGACTGCACCTGACACACACGGACTGCACCTGACACACACGGACTGCACCTGACACACACACTGACTGACACACACTGCACCTGACACACACACTGCACCTGACACACACGGACTGCACTGACACACACGACTGCACACCTGACACACACGGACTGCACCTGACACACACGGACTGCACCTGACACACACGGGGACTTCACCTGACACACACGGACTGCACCTGACACACACGGACTGCACCTGACACACACGGGGACTGCACCTGACACACACGGACTGCACCTGACACACGCGGGACTGCACCTGACACACACGGGGACTGCACCTGACACACACGGACTGCACCTGACACACACGGGGAGGGGACCTGACACACATGGGAGGGACCTGACACACACATGGGAGGGGACCTGACACACATGGGAGGGACCTGACACATGGGAGGGACCTGACACACACGGGAGGGACCTGACACACACATGGGAGGGGACCTGACACACACATGGGAGGGACCTGACACATGGGGGGGGGGGGGGGCAGGTCTGGAGCAGGTTTAGTTTGAGGTTTTTGGGAGATTCAGGAAATTTGTAAGAAAATTGCACATTTTTTTGTAAAATATTTGTGTTTTGTGAAGTTTGTGAAATGATTTTTGACACTTTATGTTTTCACTTTTGACCAAAGATTTGAGTTTAAGTCGTTTCAAACTCTCCAGGTTTTCAGGTTTTTAGGTTTTTAGTTTTTTTTTTTCTGCACAGAACTGTTTAAGAAATAAGCTACCTCACAACCAACCAGTGTTCAGGACTAAACCAGGACTAAACCAGGTCCAAACCAGGTCCAAACCAGGACTAAACCAGGTCCAAACCAGGACTAAACCAGGACTAAACCAGGTCCAAACCAGGACAAACCAGGACAAACCAGGACTAAACCAGGTCCAAACCAGGTCCAAACCAGGACAAACCAGGTCCAAACCAGGACTAAACCAGGTCCAAACCAGGACTAAACCAGGACCAAACTAAACCAGGTCCAAACCAGGTCCAAACCAGGACTAAACCAGGTCCAAACCAGGACTAAACCAGGACTAAACCAGGTCCAAACCAGGTCCAAACCAGGTAAACCCAAACCAGGACTAAACCAGGTCCAAACCAGGACTAAACCAAGACTAAACCAGGTCCAAACCAGGTCCAAACCAGGACTAAACCAGGTCCAAACCAGGACTAAACCAGGACTAAACCAGGTCCAAACCAGGTCCAAACCAGGACTAAACCAAGACTAAACCAGGTCCAAAACCAGGTCCAAACCAGGACTAAACCAGGACTAAACCAGGTCCAAACCAGGTCCAAACCAGGACCTAAACCAGGTCCAAACCAGGTCCAAAACCAAACCAGGACTAAACCAGGTCCAAACCAGGTCCAAACCAGGACTAAACCAGGACTAAACCAGGTCCAAACCAGGTCCAAACCAGGACTAAACCAGGACTAAACCAGGTCCAAACCAGGTCCAAACCAGGTCCAAACCAGGTCCAAACCAGGTCCAAACCAGGACTAAACCAGGTCCAAACCAGGTCCAAACCAGGACTAAACCAGGTCCAAACCAGGTCCAAACCAGGTCCAAACCAGGTCCAAACCAGGACTAAACCAGGTCCAAACCAGGTCCAAACCAGGTCCAAACCAGGACTAAACCAGGTCCAAACCAGGTCCAAACCAGGTCCAAACCAGGAAACCAGGTCCAAAACCAGGTCCAAACCAG